GGGAAGTGCTTATTCCACTGAGCCATCTCCCTGCCCCCCCTTTTTTTTTCCTTTTTAAAAAAATCTTTTAAAAAATTTTTATTTGGTACAGGATCTCACTGTGCAGCTAGGGCTCATAGTGACCCTCCTGTATCAGCCTCCTTAGTGCTGTGATTATAGGTGTGTGCTACTATACCTGGTTTCGGTGGCCAGCATGGCATGAGGTACTAGGGATTGAACCCGGGTCCTTGTGCTTGCCAGGCAGGCACCTAGACCACTGAGCCCTTTTCCTTTTTTTTTTTTTTTTTGATAAGGTTGAATAAGGGTTGTGGATTTTGTTTAATCTTTCAGACAACCAACTCTTTGACTCATTGATTCTTTGTGTTGATTTTTAGTGTCCAGTGTATTAATTTTTGCTCTGTTCTTTATTTTTTAAAATGTATTTGGTTGTTACAGGGTCTCACTATGCAGCTCGGACTCATAGTGATCCTCCTGTTTCAGCCTCCCCAGTGCTGGGATTACAGGCATAAGCCACTATGCCTAGACTCTGTGGCTGGCTCAGCCCACTGTGGTGGTGGAGCTAGCATAGCATGTGGTGCCAGGGATCTATCGGTGGCAGTCCCTGTGCTTGCCTGAGCAGCCATTTTAGTCTGCTGAGCTATCTTGCTGGCTGCTCTGTTCTTTATAATTTCCTCTTGTGTATGAGCTTTTGACTTAGCCTGATATTTCTTTTCCTAGAAGTCTGAGGTTCCTCATCATTGTTTATTTGCATTTGCTCTGTTTTCCTAATATGGGTATTTACTGCTACAAATTTCCCTCACAGCACTGCTTTCATTGTGTTCCGTAGTTCTGGTATGTTGTATTGTCTTTATTATTTAATTGTATAAACTGCCTCATTTCTTCTTTATTTTCATCTGTGACACACTGGATATTCAGAAAGGTGCCATTTAATTTCTATGTGTTTATGAAGTTCTTGTGGTTTCTTTTGCCATTGATTTACAATTTCATTGTACTGTGGTCTGATAATATATGTGTGGGATGGGGCTGGTGAGATGGCTCAGTGGTCTAAAGCACCTACTTAGAACAAACTTAGCAAAGCACAGGGACC